AGGAGTTTCCCACTTACGTTTTCAATTTAAGAGTGATGGCAGTGTCAATATTATGAATGAAGACTGGGAGCCAAAGTCTTCAATGAACAGGGGCATGAACAGGAGGAAAAAGTGGCAATACCTTCAGAAGAAGATATCTTTGTAGGAAGTATAGAAGTACTGGTCCAAAATAAAGAATTTGGAGTAAAATGTCAGAAATTGTAGCTTCCTCATTCTGCCGGGTATAAAGACTTGACATGGGAAAGAATGGACAATGTCCATCAGGGTATCTGGGGAAGCAGTTACACTCCTCAAGTAACTGACAGCTTTAGGATGGGGCTGTAGCTATCACCTTTAAAATAGATTATCCAGATAAGAGTGATGTACAGTGAAAGTTGAGAACCTAAGGCAAGAGGTGATGAGAGAATTTAATGAAAAGTTTGAAGGTGAAAGAGAATTTTTTCTTAATGAGACAAGTTCCAGCCACTAGAGAGAATGTATACTATTAGGACTGGGTATAGATGAGACGATAGAGTATTTGAAGGCCTTGTCTTTCTTTACGTGGTAGTAGAATAGAGATAGATGTCAGCATAAGAGACTCAGATGAGTTTTGGTAGCCCTTAGGTGATAAGCAGAATTCATTCACATTTAAAATGTCCTAAGGCCAAATGTCCTTTGCAGTTTGTGGTCCAGCCTGTAATCTGACATTGTTCTGTGTTGTAGAAGAATATGAGAACTACATTTAGAAAGTGATGCTCACTTGGACATCTGTTCTCTGCAAATAATAACCTTGAGCTAATCATGCTGAATCTGTGCCCAATAATCAGTTTAGAATGAGTTTTAATATACTTGACCAATAATCACAGAATTTTAGGGGAGGGAAAATATTTTAGAATTCCTAAGAAATAAAGGAAAAATGAGTTCTTATCTAAGCTCCATTCAATCACTAAATATGTACTAAAGCCTAGAGAAAAAGATGTTATTTTTCTTTAAAATGCCACAGAGTAATGTAGCTATTACTATCTTAGTTTCTTGGACTATAGTGGAGATTATGTTCAAACAGTAGGCCTGAATTTTACCAGCTGTGTATACCTTGGTATATGGTTGAAATGAGAAAACCCTAGAATTTCTCATGGTAAATCCTCATTAAAGGGTGTTTTGAGGGTGGAGGTCCAAGGGCGTCCTGGCGAATGTTAGATGCACACCGATGTCATGTGTCTTGCATTTATCTAGAGGCATAGGTATGCAAAGAACAAATAGTAATCCAGTGTTGGTAAGTGCTAAGTTTAGAGAATACACTGGGTGATTCTATCGGAACATTAACTGAGGAACATTGATGTTTGTCTGCTGAGCAAAGATAGCATAAGTTTTGCCATTGTACAAGCAAGAAGCCTGAGGGACAGTCTTTAAGAATAAAGACTGACAAAGTGCTTGTACCTAAATTATGTGAAATCCTAGGTTTGATGTCCGATATGGCAAAAAAAAAAAAAGAAAAGAAAAGAAAAATAATAAGGACTTAAGGGAGTAATCCATATAGAGTTTGGCAGGAGGAGGTAAAAAGTACAAGTTTCCAGCCTTTGGCCTAGTGTGAATAAACACTTGAAGGTGAGAGAAAATCCAGGCATCTAGGAAGCATCAAATGAGTGCAGCTAGTGGGCTCCATGAGAACAGAAGAGGCTGGATAGGTAAGTTATGATAAGATCATGCAGGCTCTGGTATATCATGCTAAGGAGAATCAGTTTTAATATATGAGTAATGAGAAGGGCATTTGAGGATCTTAAAAGCAAGAGCGAAATGAGTTGAAGAGGACAAAATTGGAAGGGGCAGGAGAGAAATACCGGTGCCTTGGACAAAGATAGTAGTTTTTGAAGATAAAAGAAGAATGGATTCAAGACAATTTTTGGAGATGGAATAAAAAAATTGGTGGTCAATTAATGTTGAAATAAAATAGAAGTCAAAGATGCCTCCAAAATTGTAGGTGTTTTCAACTGTGCCAGTGTAGCGTATGATTAGTTAGTGGCTAAGAGTGAGCATATGCTTATAGCATCCAGGAAATCAGGGGTGCCCCAAAGGTGGAAACATTACGATTTGGAACATATGGCTTTTTAAAAGACTCAAATAATCATAAGAACATCAATATGTTTCCCTTGTTTTGGATTTCCTTACTTTTCTTGCTTTATAATAATATATTTCAGTCATCCATTGAAAGTGAATGTTAAAACCTCTTCTTTACTTTACTCCTCCCAAAAGAGGAGTTTAAGGTGTTCCTTCTAATTTGGGTAATCAGTGGTCCCATTTCTCTGAGACAGGGAATTCTAGAGTTGGAACAAGTTTGGGCTTCTTGCCTCTGAAGTGAAGGCAAAACACTGGCTGTCAGGCAACCTCCTGGGGGACATTATTAAACTAAGTCTATAGATAACTGTTCAAATGTAGTATTTACATCTAAAGCAGTATGTTAGAAATGTTTAGCCAATACTAATAGAACAGTTGGGAGACTTTACTCACTGACAATGAGGCCATGAAAGAAAGTTGACATAAAGATCTGAGACCTAATGTAGGAGTTCTTCAACTGGATCCTACAGGATTTTAATGTGAATGTGAATTACTAAATTTTGATAGGCAGAAGTCCTATGGATTTCTTTAGGGTTTTCACAATGGACTTGACCCTGTCGATATTACCAAGGGTTGGTTTCCTGAATGAAATGAATGAAACTGTTTGAACAGGGTTCATTGCTGTTACTGTTGTTGTTTGTTTCATTTTGTTTTTTTGTTTTGGAGACAGGGTCTCACTATGTAGCCCTGGGTGGCACGCAGCTCACTATATAGACCAAGCTGGCCTTGAATTCACAGAGATCTATTTGTTCATGCCTCAAAAGTGCTGCAATTAAAGAAATATACTACCACGCCCAGCCTTCCATGGGGTTCTTAAATCTCCAACTCTTCCAAAACTCTGGGGGAGCTTTGACAATAATATACTTGTAATTTTCTATTGTTCTTTACTTTTAAAAAGCCTTCCTCAAAGAAAGAACAAATGAATACATACATGCATACATACATACGTATATACGTCATTCTCTGTCATTCACAGATTAGGCAGTTACGTTACATAGGCTAGTATCTGGGAATGGACTAAATCCAGGAGAATTGAATGTGCCTAGAGAAGACATTGCAGAAGGACAAAGACTGCACTAGTAAAGGCAGAAGGTTAAAAAAAAAAAGAAAAAAACATGACATTTAGAGAAATAATGTCTACTGGGTGAAAAGTCAGACCATGCTGTCAAGGAAATGCAGAGACAAGTGTTCAGCCATGTCTAGTGAGGATGGAAGATCAGAAAAAAAAGAAAAGGCAAAGATTTACAGGAGTTGTTTTAGTGGAACAAGAACAAGTGAAAACTATTCCATTTGCATTTCTAAACAAGTAACAATAATAATTAAACAAGTATAACTGGTCACTACAGTACACACACATACAGAAGAATTCAGAGTACTTACTGAAAGCTCTCAATTCTCTGTTCACTTACGAGAACATTCATCAATAAAGTAAACTTGGTGTAAACAATGGACTTTTGCTGAGATTAAGGATGGCACATATGTAACTGGAAATAATCAATCCTAAATGTGTTCTATGACCAGATAAAAGCTTTAAGCTCTGTTTCCCTTGACCTCATCTTTTTTTTCCTGATCTCATGTAGCACCTCTAGCCTTTTGTTTCTGTCCACTGGCTGGAAGGAAAAATGAAGTAGTGAGAGGGAATGGAAAGAGAAAAGAAGCCTAAAGAACAGCATTTGAATGTGAAAGGTTTTGAATTTAAAATTGCATGTTGTCTAATTCAGGCTGAGGAAACATCTAGTTTCAACTGAGTAAACCACAAGTATGCTAACTTCCTCAGTATTGAGAAGGTAGGCTTTTTAGTATGAACTGTAGTCTGATAAAGGGTATGTAGGCAAATACGTTTGTATGTCTTTTATGAAAGATAGCAATTGTAATTTACAGTGTTTCTGTGCTTCTTCCTTCTTGGGAATTATTTCTATATATACTAATTTCCATTATAGTTCTTAAATTAATTTCTTCACTAGGTATATATTTAAAGATTTTTGACTAATTAACTGCCAATACTTTTTTTTCATAATTATGTCACCATGAAAAATCTAGTACTTGAGAAAGGCATTGACTTTGAATGGCTCATATGATAAACTATAGTGAGGATACACAAAATCAACAAAATATAAGGACTAACCCAAAAACTTATTTGTAGTTTCTATAAATTAGTAAAATTTATTTACAAAATCATCAATTTGTAATTTTTAATAGCAATATCCTGGACTGGAAAGGGTTAAAATGGTTTAAAAGAAGGATTTGTAACATCATTGATTTGTAATAGTATCTTCCTTGGAAAAATACCAAGGTATGCTCCATAACATAAGCATGTAAAATAAGGAAGTTTCAACTTTGCTAGAGTTGATATTTAAATGATTCATCAGAATTTTATAGACAGCCAAGATGCTTTTCTTCTCTTTACAATGGAAAGCTTTAATCTAACATGAATGTAAGTAGTTTAATATTTACTAAGTGGTATTTGATCCAACAAAGCCAGTTAAACACAGCATGATCAGATACTTGTTGGTTATATCATTACACTGATAAATATGAAAAACTATGTGAACAGTGGTTTTCTTTGTGGTTTAGAAATTTGAGGGATGTGGGAGAGACATGGTCTCACTTCGTAGCCCAGGGATTCTTCAAACTTGTGATCGGCCTACCTTTGCTGGCACTATATGCATACATTACCACACAGAGTCGATTTTGAATATTTTAAAATCATTTCGACATACTATTTTTCACCAAATACTCAGTCACTTCTCCAAATAAAATGGGAATTTCTAGATAGTACTAGTTTTGTTAAAATTGTATTAGAGTCAGTTGTCTTTGTACCTTATAATTTTTTTGATGAACCGACTTATACAACTTATGGAAGCCAAAACTGTACCTCAAATAAATACATATTAACATTTTGCTTTTAGCCAATAAGAAGAAAGAGAAAGAACGCCCAGAGATCTCTCTTCCTTCAGACTTTGAGCATACGATTCATGTGGGGTTTGATGCAGTCACCGGGGAATTCACTGTAAGTAAGCTCCTTATTTTGTTTTGTAAGCCATGAAAAAAAAATCTATTCACTTCGTGAAAATAGATTTCAAGTAAGAATTAGTAGGGTCCAAAGGGTCAGACTAAAGATGGACTTTGCTTGGACAATCATGAATGGAAATATAAAGTGGACAAGAACATTGGCAAAATATTTTGTCCATCTTTTTAAAAAGATCTGCTCACACTATAACTTCAAGTTACTGCAAAATATTTATTTGGTAAGGCACAAAAATTGTACCTATGGTAAGGAGACCCTGACTGAACCTGTTCTTTAATCATATAAGGTGAATCAAAGGATCATGCATTCAACTTGGCCAGTAAAGGCAGTCCATCTGAATAATTCAGGCTTTACAGTGAGACCTGAATTACCCAAATCAGCTAACTGCACTAACAAAAATTTCTGTAATAGTCACCTATTCTTCCCTTTGATTTTAAGAACATAGATCATTTCTTAAGATTACTAGTAGGCATGTGTTGTATACATTCAAAACCACAAATCCTGTAATTAGAAATACTGATGGGTATATATGACATACACATGAGTAGTTATATGATTAAATGAGTAGTTATATGATTAAATATATATGAATGAACATATATATATGTATGAACAATCTGTAATAATTAACAACATGATATCTGGATACATCGCTGTAGATCTAGCCCTTCTCTGGATGCATGTGCTCAAATAGCACAAGATCTCAAATCTATGCCATTTTGTATCTTTTGAGACAATTATCTGGCACCTCCTTTCTTACGTGGGTGAGGGAAAAGATTTTGTTAGAAATATGGCCTCATATTTCAACCAAAATGTGCATTCTGAAATAATAAGGAGCATTAAATGAATTTGGAAAATAAAAACTTTGATCAGAGCCATCACTATTAATTCTTGGCTTGTTTAAGCCCAAGAAACATGTAGATATTAAAGAGTTAAATGTCCTGTTTCATAGCACAGTGGCTAGTGAATAGACTGTGTCATATAATTAAGTTTGAGGGAAGGAACAGATCAATTTGATTTGGTGAACTAAACTACATTGCTGAATTGGCAGCCAAATTATTTTATTTGTTCAGTTCTGGAAGTAAGAAATTTGAGAATAAAATAAAAACAGAGGAAATGTGTTGGCCTCTTAAATTGGTATGGGCTGATTATTTCTGTGTTCTCCAGAACAAGCAGAAGAGAACATTAAGAAACAATGACACTGGTAAAATTGTGGTAGATATGAGTTAACTAATTTCGTTATCAGAATCAAAGACAGTGTTTAAATGCCACTTACTCTGAGCCCGACTGTTATTTTATTGCCAGCAGGTTCTCTTAGCTATATGTTGAAATTATAAACTCACTATCAACACTACCATCACCATTTCCCCACCAGATAAATGTTATTTTACAACCTGACCATTATATGTTTTAAAAGATCCAAAGAGATTATAACTATTTCTGAAATTTGAAACTAGAAAAGCCCTCAAACTTCATATTTTTGCCTAATAACTTCTCTTTTTTTTATTTTAAGAATTTTGTTTTATCCTGTCCCTCGGTGCTCCTCTTCTGTTTAATCTTATCTTAGTTTTGTTGCTGTTATTCCATGTTTTTCTTTCCTTGTTTTTTTCTCTTTTTTCTTTTGAGGTTCTGTTGTGAAATTGTTCTCCGTGATTTACCTCATCTGATATTCTGGGTCACATCCACGTTTTTATTCTTCCCACTTCTCTACCTTATTTGATATCTTATGCTGTAAAGGTCCCATCTTTAGCCCTTTATTTGTTCTTTCTGGGTTCTGAATGGCAATAAAATAAAACTAAACAACCTCCATCTTCCTAAGTGTAACACCAGCCATTTTCATGTTGATCTAAATTAGAACCCAGTGAACCAATCTGAGAAAGATGAGGTGGAATATGTGAAGACAGCCTTCCAGTCTTATACAACCACATAAAAAAAAGCCTTGAAGTAAATTTTATTTTAGACAAAATAGCTGTTTAGAAAGAATTAACTGATAGAAATTCATTCAACATATTGACATATATAGACTGAATTTGGAAATTTGAAGTCCTTCATTGTCATCTTGATGATCTTTAGTAACTACTTGTCCACACATTTTTTCAAGATTCTAAATT